TTGTTCGTGAATCAAGAAATTTCAAGCTCGTTACAAATAGATGATATCTCACTTTTATGAGTGGATATTTTTTTTAGAAAATCCTTATTTTCTTGTGTCAAGAGATTATTATTTCAAAGGAAATCAAAATATAGCTTAGTATCAGAGTATTTAGTATTGAATATTATCTATTCTTACAAGTTGTAAACAACAGGCTCACTCATGAAAACTTGGTCATCCTATTATAACATAACAAAAATAAAAACATGTATGATAAAAACGAAAACATATACATAATAATATAGTGAAATCATCAAATACTATGTGTAGCTCAGTCGAGGAGGTGGAATATTCATTTTCTCTAGATATTTGTGGGTTATTTTCCTCGTCTTCTTCCCCAGAATGTCACCGTGATTGGAGGGATGGGTTGAATGTTGAATCACAAAAACCTAGTGAGAAGAGTAAAAGCATCAATTGAAAAATGTTCTGTTTGTTTTGCAGAGGTGATTGTCAAATGAGAATCATTAACCGTATACCTATAGAAGTTGCTTCAGAAGAAACATTCTCATTCATCACAGCCAGACATTGTCGAGAACAAACGATATTCGAAGGCAACCAGATATTTTCTGGTTGCAACAAATTCTGCGTTTGACAGAAAGGCATGTATAGAAGTTGTTATAGGTATGTGAAAACGCGAAGGAATAAGGGGACATATCATTATTGGTTCAATCATTTCAATCAGGAATCAAGTGAAACATATATAAATAATGCACAATTACCTACATAGTTTAGTTCAGTTTATTTAAAAACGTTAGGTACAAAAAAATACATTTGTTGCAGTTCATGAACATTACATCTAGTGGGTAATGTAGGGTTATGAACATGAGTGCATATAAATGGTAACAAATCAATAAAGCACACACAAAAAAAACAGAAATACCTAATATTATACCTATAAGTGCGTTCATCGAATGAATGAGACTGGTCAAATCGTCACTGCTGAACGAATGTATCTTGTGCAGGTTATACAAACATGGCTATATGCCTTGACAGTGATGTGTAGTTATGGTTTCAGGTATGATGTTAGCATGTTTCCGATGAAATAAAAAGGGAAGACACCTCACTAGGTACAACTATTTTACAAAAATATACCCCCGCAGATTGTCCTCAGATATGAAATGCCGCATTGCTGTGAAGATGATACCACACCACTATTATCCATGACTCAGCAAACTTGATTCTTGAAGACTCTACCATTGAAAAACAAAGGTGCCTTGCACCGTCTTCACAAGGAACAAAAGCGGCTATGTCGAATGGCGGCTAACGACTGAGGAGTCGAATGGGCGCAGGCGTACCGCTGTATATACGTCACAGAAAGTCTTCAAGACAAGCAGAGATTTTCTTGGACCATGGACTAACATAAATTGAAAATTATGTCACTTTCAGTCGCGGTTTTCTTGAATGAAGGAATATACTGTTTATGTTTAGCCAATTCATATCAAGAAATTTCAAGAAGCAAGCAAGCCGATTGAATTGAGACAAGTGTACATTGCTCCATTCGAATGAAAAATTCTTGTAAGAAGCAATTCAATAACAAGAAAATGGATTACTTCGATGGGAGAAATTCTTTCTATCTGTGTGCATGACGTCACGATTTCGTTGCCATACGTTGAAATACGATTGGGAACTTCAGAAATATCAGTTATTCATCGATCCATGTATTCTCAATTATGTATTGATGGTGATATTCCTGATTAGCAATGAGAAATCAATCGACTCAAAATTTTCCTTCATGTTCTGGGGCTCATTGCTTACATTTGTGTTGATGATAATTATGTTGGTTCACACTTACTGAAGGACATTCGAACTGGTGAACGTGGCAATACGGCGCACGAGTTGTTGGCGTCGTCTTGTCAGTACTCAGCAATCAGCATAATGTTGCCAAGTCTTCAACATTCACATGATATTATTTTGTTATTGAGTATATAAAATATTTGGACATTTGAACATTTGGATATTTGGACAACGAGCTATAATATCATGGCTTCCTCCTATTATGTTCCATTCAACGACAGGACTCTAACATATTTTTGCCAACTTGATTATAATTAATGACGTGACAACCTTGCTTCATGGATGGTAATGGATGATTATTTGACCAATACGTTTGAAACAGAGCTCAAAAATTCAACGATTCTGAACAACGCATAGACTGATCAATTACATAAAAAAGCGTGGGGAGTGTCGCGAAAATTGATTCAAGTGAAGTGAATGCCAATAATTCATTATCAGTCCACTCGTCCATTGTCTACAGTTGTCCCATATAATTATGAACGAAATTTTGAGATCAGATGAAAAAGATGCCACATTGAATCTATTTTCTACCATGACTTGACTTCTTTCGGTGTAAGTATTCGAACGTTCGAATTTTCAAAATTTGAATAATGTTCTCTCCATTTGTCATCTCCAATTGAAACTAGGCCAAATAACTTCTACATGCAGATTCGAAGTTATATACGAACCATTAGTTACAGTGTAGATGTGTCCTCAACCTTAGACCGCGGGATATGGAAATTTATTGATAATACTGCATTAAAATTCATTGAATTACGACAGCAAACCCCAGCGTTCATTAATATGCATTTCCCCAAAAGAGAACGTACTAACTGGAAAAGAATGAGAAATGTATCCCTGTTCACGGGCATAAGGGCAGCTCACATGTAATCAAACCTTTTCACACAAACCACAACGAGAAGAAATATCACTGTGAAGTCCTGGAACTTTGCCCATTGAATCTACACCTGCGGTGACACATCAATACACGCTATATATTTTCAATGGTAACAATATCATTCGATTTGAGGAAGAGGGGGATTTTTCAAATATCATTTATAAAACGAGTTGTATCTGTTAAGAATATAATGTCTGAACGGGACAATATTCATAACGTTGCATTTTCATTTATTCGTCATTGCAGTTGATTATAATAATATACAGAATGGATCTGAGATTCTTCGTCACAAATTTGATGAGTGCCTTACAGGGTTTTGACTGAAGTTGAGTGTTGATCGAGTGTTATTTATTGCCAAACATAAAATTCAATAACATCCTCCTGAAATCTATGCATCGACTCGCATAAACAAATACTGATAGAAGTCGTGATTCTTTCCTGAATTCCTATTGATTTCGATTGAGCCAGGTCACGCTAGACACCTACAGACCGGTTTCGAGCTCTCTGACTCTCATCAGGGCAGGGTAATCTCCAGTCAGCAGTCCTAAAACTGCCAACTAAGCGTAGCCTTGTCAAACAAGAATCAAGTCGGCTTTATATTCCCTCAGAGGCCCCTCCCAAAGACAATATGAGAGCAACGCCATCTGAGTAGAGAAGAAGGAAAAAAACACGCCAAAAACCAAAATTTCGAAGTGGCTGATTGGAATGAAATGTTGAATGAATACAAAAAGCTCAAAGTCATTTTCACACAATGTTCATGGAATGAACAACAATTGTAGATTTTGGATGAAAAAGAACTACTTCCCTAATCTATGGTAGACGTCCATAGTCAATGGTATCTCACAGTGGAGTGGACACATCGATACGCAAGACATACTATAAGTCATCTCCACAAATTCATTATCAGAATCATCAGTGTCTGAACATGTTTCGGACTATCAATAGTCCATCATCAGCAGAATCATTTTTCGGACAATTTGTCATGGGCACTTTGCCCTCCATTAATTTCAACAATGTGATTCCATATTGTATAATATTATCTTTGACCTCTTCTTTTCATTTCCACAAATTGTCTTCAGAATGCTTCTGCTGATGATGGACTATTGATAGCCCAAAACATGTTCAGAAACTGATAATTCTGATAATAAATTTGTGAAGATGACTAAGTGTGTCTTGCGTATGAATTCATCCACTCCACTGTGAGATACCATTGACTTTGGACGTCTACCATAAATTAGGGAAGTAGTTCTTTTTCTTCCAACATTGTATTACTTCCTCCTGAAATCTATATATGCATCGACTCGTATAAACGAATACTGATACAAGTGAGTCTTTTCTGAATGCCTATTTATTTCGATTTAGCCAGGTCACACTGGACACCTATACAGACTGGTGATTTCAACAAATAGGGAAAAGCGAGGTTATATTCAATTAATAACGTATTCTGTTGAAGGATCAATATTTTTGCCAGCCATAATTCAACTTGACATCAATACCCATTTATACCTATACAATATGATCTGAATATCAAAGTATATAACAATGTTCCCACGAAGGGAATATATAATATTCGAGTCTCTCAGGATGTTTGCTGGAACGTGGTGACCTTCGGACTGATTCGAAATCACCTGTTCGTTCTTTTGATGATAGTAGTAGCAAATAATGTCTCTGGACATTACTGAATATCAGGATCAATTGAACCCTCTTCAATAGTACCTAGAAGGTAGTTTTGGAATTTTAACATCTGATTCGGATTCGGGTAGTAAATTTTCATTGATAGTGAATTCTTGATCAGGAACAATGCATATTCAGGTCAAATGGCTCTAAAGTATAGACACTGACATCAATTGTACACTTCACAGGTACATCTCCTTCAACCTTAGATACGACTTTTGTCTGAAAATTCGCATCTTATCAGGTCATCAAGGAAATTATCATCCCATCAGTTCAACATCAATATGCATGAAAATGAACTGATGATTTAGAGTGGCTCAGAACCAGAGGTGCCTATACAACAATATACTAGTTTGGAGATAATTGAGGACAAAGTTTATTGAAATCAATAAATTGCCTAATGTTCAAAATTATAATTTTTTTGCGTTTTTACCCAAGGAAAACATATATTATTCACTTAGAATGAATGAAAAAAATCATCATTAAATTTTTACCTTTATTTTGAAAAACTAAAAGTATAGGCGTTTTTGGCTCTAACAAAATTTACAAAACAATTTTGTAAAGGTGATAAAATTAAAATTAACTCATTAAAATAAACGCGAAAAATGAACTGAAATCACTTCACGTCTTTTTGGACATTAGGCTCATCCTCCGGATCTCCATCTGCAAGTCCCAGGTCCCTTTCATTATCGGTTTTTAACTCTTTGTAAAAACCGTGGTGGATAGGTGGCACAAAACTTAGCAGGGCCATCAAATCTTTCTTTTTCTCTTCTGTTATTGGTTTTCCTTCAGGATACAATGAATCCATTTCAATGTAATGGTTTGATGAAGGACGACCACGTATACTTCTTTTTAGGTCCAATTCCAAAAAGAAAGAATCCGTATTGTAGTTGTATTTAAAATACATCTTTTTCGGATCAGAATATCTTAGATGAATCCAAGATATTTTCAGCCATTCCACTTTTTCTCCGGTTGTCGTTTTTTTCCTGTGTACTATGTCATTCTCCAGTTTTTTTGTGCTGAAAAAATCTTCTTTTCCCATTTTGTGAATAGTAAATCTAGGCTATTTCTTTTTAGCATGCCTTATAACAGATACCCAGTCATCAGGTTTGTAAATATTTTCGTGGTATTTTTTTTCTTTATCTATGACGCCAAAGTTCTGATCACACGTTGAAAAGCTGTGCCCAGACACGAAAAATTTCAAGTTTATCTCTTTGACGCCAACGCCATTTTTCTGCAATTCATCAAGTAGGCCCAACACAACTTTAATGTTTCTGTGCCCTCCGCAGGCATCGGAATACAAGTTAATGATTTTGTTTGGAGTATCTGGCAGCAAAGAAATATATTTTATCAAACATGACACTATTTCTTGCGCCCCACGAGAAGCAATACTCTCATCCCAGATGAACATGTGTCCAACATTTCTCACCTCGTCGTGGATGCATAAGTTGAAAACCCACATTTGCCTTTTATAATAGGCTACAGACGTGGACAAAGCAGGAACTGGTAGAGTACGTTGTAGGTCGAAAACAGCAACATGCTTTAACCCTATACTATTTTTTGCTTCATCAATTTCCTTCTTTTTTAGCGTTTTTACTGCTCCCGCCTTTCTCTGATGCAGAGTCTTTTCTAACTCTGTATTTCTTTTCTTGACATCATCAAGCTCGGTTTTCAAAATTATATTGAAGTTGTCACATTTTTGACATGTACTTTTTTGAGGTCTGTGAAATGACAAATCAAACGAATGGTTGAACACATCTCTAAAAACAAAAAGAGATGATATTTTTCTTTGGTCCGTTTCACAGCATCTTTTATATTCGGCGTACATAAGAGATATGTTTAAATTTGGTGGCAAGTATTTCTTGGCAGTGTGATGACGACAGTTATGTGATTCGTATACCGGAAACTTTGTTATAAACTCTTTCAAGTAATTTGTATCCTCCAAGTTGGTCTTATTGTGTGGCGTATGTCTCCCTCGTTTGTCCGAAACAGGAGTTCCCGAAGCCGATTTTCTCTTTAGAGCTTTAGTGATTTTACCATCGCATACATCCAAGACGCTTTTGAAGAAAACTTCACATACTCTATGGTCATTTCCATCTACATCTTGCAGTCTGTAAGTTCTAGTTTTTTGTCGCCTAGAAACTTCTTTTTTGGAGAATTTTCTTTTGGCAGGCTCTACTATAATCTGTCCAGAAATAAAAGCATCTTTGGCGGTCCAATCTATTGCATAGAAGTGACGAAAAATTTCCATTTGTCGAATTTCGCTGATTTTTTCCGGACAATTCAGCTTGCAGACCCTGCAACAATTGCTGAGAATACATCCTTTATTTCGAACTAGGTTGTTTTTGCTTGATAGATGCTCTTCTCCACTTTTCACTTGTCGTTTGCGAAGGCCTTGTTTGCTGAGCTCGGGATGTGATTTTCGCTTCCGGCCTTTGAATGGTGTTTGTGGTAATTCAACCTCATTATCAGTATCTAGAATAAAATAAAAATCACAATACTACAAAAGTTCATGCAACATGGCTACCAAAAACTGTGGAACATGCTATTTTTCATCTATGACATTTATAAAATAAATTATTGCCAGAAGAGCCTATACAACATTTCTATTTAAAGCCGTTTTTTACGAAAGTACTAGAAAAAATCCATTTATTTTATACATATTAACATAGAATACATACCTGTTGACACATTTTCACTTTCACTAGGAATATACTCTTCTTCTTCTTCATGAAAATCGCTGAAAGAAGACGAATTGCTCCACGTGGTGGCCATGTTGTTTGTAGCATAGGCACGTCTGGCGTCTAGAATATTTTCTGGATGTGATTTGCCCAATTATTAACAGATGGCGTCATAAGTATTAAAGCGATTTTTAGTGTAGGCACATCTGGCCCATATTAAATGGCGCATTTTCGGTGGATACCCATAGCTAACACAGTTTCAAATGATATGTTGTATAGGCACCTCTGGTTCTGAGTGATGAACTCAACAACATTGGGGCTTTCCGTAACAGAAATATACTGTCGCGAATATAACGGCCCTAAATCAACTGAAATGTTACCGATACCAAGCATTTGTGGAAATGGTGGTACCAGATAATGCTATACAACATTCAGTATATATTTTCTCAAACAAACTGTGGTGCATGTGGTGCTAATCAATCAATATTGGAACATTTTAAACGCAAGTAGGGGCGAATACCTATGTAGTATGCATGAGTATTTTCTTATATTTTTCGCTCTGCATCATGGATTTGAAAAAAAGTCATTTTCACGCAACCAGCCATGATCGAATAGTTTGGTTATATACTTATAAAAATAATATTTGTTAACTGTTACTAAATTTGTTATTGATATAAGGCGTATGAACAACCCCTAGGGGTGATCCACGAGAGGTGGAAATGCATCAAGAAATTTAATGAATCAATAAACAATTTTTTTGAAATGAAGACATCAAATTATATCAGCAAACAAAATATTTATTCATCATCAATAGAAGGTTTATTTTCATGCTGTATTCATGAATGAATATTTGGTAACCAAAGACAAAGATTTAGAATTATTATCGTTTGGTGTGGGTAGAGAAATATGTATATATTCACATTTAAAAAATGGATACTATCCTGAAATAATCATAATTCAACCATGCACGAGGCTCATTCATGGGGGAGGTGAACAAGTAAAAAGTGTAATGAGCCATATTTCATTAACGGATTTGGTAACAGTTGATCATATCTATTTATTATAACCAAACTGTTCTTTCAGTGTATATATCAGGCATACTGAGTTCCGCTTTTTCGAAGAAAATACAGGCTTGAATTTTGGTGGCGTTGAATTCAACAAGGTTGTTGGGGTTTTCGGAAGATCTTCACTGACAGCGTTGCCGTGCCTTCGTCGTAAGTTATCAGTTTCCTGGAAAGACATGGAAACTCTTGGAGAGAACCCAGTATTGAGAGTACTATCGTCTGTGAAGCTATGGATAGGGCAAGTGGTTTTTCCCAATAGATCGTTGATATAGAGAAGGTACAATGTTGGTGCCAAAATTGATCATTAATTGTCATCCTCATCAAATGAAGAATGCGTTGTTACGTAAAAAAAACTAATTATATTTTGAGATATAATTTCTGAATCACAATGGAGTTAGTTGGTTACGTTGGAAGGTGAATAAAGGGTTTGTTTGCTCACAACTGGCTCTGATACAGGCAGAGGGGGTGAGTCGTTTTAATACTGAGGATGTTCTTGAGGGCGCCAACAGATTCAAATACACAACCCTTATTAAACGATAGATGAGTATAAGAGAAATCGAACCTATAAGAATAACTCTTGAATCAGTAACCAAATAATCATATATATTATATTCTACGAGTTTATGTTACGTATTGAAGCAGTTATGTATAGATACATACTTATTCACTAAGTGACCATCAAGAATATGTTCGTGCACGAAGAAAGAGGGACTCGCGCGAGAGTGGCGGCAAAAGGAGCACAGAAAATAATTTTGTACGTAAAATTAATGAACGGCGGTCGTCAATTTTTTGAACATTAATATTACGAATCGATGATTATTACAATCATTTCTGATGATGGGTTCATACCGCAAGACACTGAAACAATGAACGAGCCAACATTGAACAATGAACGAGAAACATCAAAAGTTAATCATTTTTTTTATTCATGTGATGAAAAACTTCATTGAATCAACGTTTTATGTTTATTGATCTATGTTTTTCATCATTGGAGCAATAAACTTTTCGTCATGGATCTATCAACAACAAACATAAGAAAATAATGAATGGTCTTCATTGTTTCAATGAACACTAAACGTTGATTTCATGAAATGAAACATCAACTTCCAAAACAGGCGCCAAATTAATGTTGCCTACCCATGGATCAATCACGCCAAACATTAATACTATGAAAAGAAACATCAACTTCCAAAACAGGCGCCAAATTAATGTTGCCTACCCATGGATCAATCACGCCAAACATTAATACTATGAAAAGAAACATCAACTTCCAAAACAGGCGCCAAATCAATGTTGCCTACCCATGGATCAATCACGCCAAACATTAATACTATGAAAAGCTTTCATAATACGCGGTGAATTTTTCATTTGCCATTTTATTTTATTTCTATTCGTTCAGTTGTTAATGAAAAGTTGAAAGTGCTGGGTCGTGTTTTGTGTTTCTGTGGCTGATCGTATAGAATTCCTACCTATTTGTGAAATTGTGCCACATCAATGGGATACTAAACCTAACATATTTGAGAAAGGTGAGTCCTGTTAATTTTGAATTACTTTTTTCACAATTCTTACGATTAGGATATATTAACTCAGCAAACATTGAACTACCGGGAGAATTCCGGCCTAGTGCAGGCAAGTGTGAGAAAGTGTCGATGCCGGTGTATTGGTGATGTCCGATGATTTCTCTATGCTAAGTAACCATCAGTTGAAAATACGATGATGGCCTTGTGATGGTATGATGTATAGAACGAGTTGAGCACTAACGAGTTGTGGCCCCTTGCTGGCCAATATCCTGTTCACTACTCGTCCCACTGGGGGATTTTCTGGGAACGTCTACATCAACAATCAGCTGATCATTTGGATAATTATTATATGTCACTCTACTCTCTAGTGATAGCGTATGTTTCGTTTTTCTCTGGTTTGTTGTCATATCATTGTGCTCATCACTTTCCCTGGTCGTTATAATGGCAGTTATGGTGGCAGGAGTATTCTCAATTGATAATATAGAAGATGGATTCTTCAATGATGATAATATGTATTGAGTAAGTATCAATCTACCTATCTAGTGTTCCAAATTTTGTTATGAAATGCATGTGTTTGTGATGATAATAATTGTAGTGGATCCTACCTCTCCAGAAGCGTAACTTTCATGGACTGCTTGGTTCGTTACTATCAGAAGTAATATTTGGTTATGGAAACCTGTCTCTATCATTGAAGTGAATAACAATAAGGCCTGTGCCTCCATATGTAAGTATATATCACGTAATCAGACTATATATTGATCAAGTTATGAACTCATGTAACAGAGTATTTTGTTTCTCATACTTCTATGAAGAAAGAATTCTGACATCAAGAAAGGCCACTTCATGATAACTTATGAAGAATTTTATATTTCAGAAGTACCTACCTCGCAACGAAGAATCTATTTTGGAGGAATGCTTCCCAAATAAGATGAAGATGTAGATATACCAGCCGGTAAGCAGTCACTCTGAGGAGTTTTATCATGGAAGAAGAGAGAGGTTAAGAAGATATCATTGTGTCATTCATAAATTGTTTTCTTGAAATCTGGTATGTGTCTATTTCATATAATATGATGATAAACATCAAAAAATATATTGAGTTACTAGAACTTCCAGATCAATTGGACCCCTGAAACCCCTACCCTTCCCTCTACCCCTCCTCCTACCCCTCCCCCTACCTCGTTAATATGTAACCAATGTCGTTAATTGGCCATTACAGTCCCATCATTTCTGTTTATGCTGGGCTTGCTATGGGCAACTCAATATGTCGATTATGTTGTACCCATATCAAAATGTTTGCTGGGTAGGTACTCGTGGGATGCACAAGGTACTATTCTTTCTACAACTACTGGTTATTGTCATCACATTGTTATCATTTTATTTTCTACAGAAAATGAAAATCGAGTTAATTAGGTGTTCAGATCAGTATTTTGCCTGATTTGACAAAATTTTCGTTGTCTTGTATAGGGAGGTTATTAGTTCTTGAAAATACTTACATTGGCAAATAATTCCAAAGCTTCGCCGTTCTATGGACGAACGAGTTTTGGTAGAGTGTAGTTCAACATATTTCAAAGTTAACAAAGAAAGAATGTGCTGACTGGGCTTGTCGAGTTCGTCTGACTGGTATTACTTGTGATTGAATTATAGCAGAGATTTCTGTGGAACATTTCCCTTATTATCAGATACTTAGTTATAATTATGTTATAATGAATGGAAAGGGCAAAATTTGTTTATTCCGACAAAAAATGTATAAGGTGAGCGAATATTTGTTTTTTGAATATCGTCCAAGTTTATCAGTCTTCGATCATTCAGTGTATTTTTGACATTTCGGAAACATTTTTAGTTGACTTCATTAAAAAATATTCATTACATTTGTTATTCAATACAATTAGGTAGATTTCAACAAAAAAAAAATGATATTTCATTAAGAAAACCATCAGTGTTCTGCGACTGCCTTGTAAATGTATATATTATATTATTCATCAGGTCACATCAAATCAGTGGATGTACTAGATAATTTTGGGCCGATTTTGGGTTTCTCAAAATTTTAGAAATTAATTACTCTGATGCGTGAAAAAATTGTCCCCTTATTACTGATAGTGACGATACTGTTGACAACATTATCTTCGACGACGACTATACCACTGTTAAATACCAATAGAATTTGTTCGTTACATCTATAACTGTCGAACATAGATTCATGCTCATTTTTCATTGATTCAATGAAGAAAATCATCAAGTGATGTCTATCGTTCGTAATATCAATAACCGCCGATCATAGATCCATGCTAGCTGATTATTGATTCAATGTTCAGCTGTGATAAACTGAGTCTGTCCTTCGTAACTGGCACTTACATATTCATGCTCACTGTTAATTGATACAATGTACATCAACCATAAACCAATGTTTATCATCATAGATCCATGCTCGCTGTTTATTGATTCAATGTACAACAACCATGAACCAATGTAAATTCATTCGTAATATCAATCACCGGCAAACATAGATCGAT